ACAAAAATAGAAATCTATTTTGAGTGTCAAGGAACAGCACAGGCAGCATACTTGAAGGTACTATTTATTATTTAATAAAATGGGAGATAAGGTGCCTGCAGTTAAACAAGACAGGTTTCTGGAGTTGAATTCTACAATGTGGTGATAGCCACTACAAGTCCAAATTCCAGGCAGGAGGTGAGACCATGGCGCAGTCTGCAGACTGAAAAAGACACCATTCTTCTGAAATATTTCCACAGAGCGGAACAGGTGCGGGTAAACCACGTTTATACTTATAAATATAATGGTAGGTAAAAGAAGTTGCCTTTTAGATATCAGGCTGGCCCAAAGCATGGTCAATGAACAAGTATCTAGTATGAGTGTTCAAACATTTCCCAATTTGTAGAACTGACATGATGACTACACATTGATATTTCAGTCCTGCCGCGAGAGAAGACGTGTGTGCTGTCCTGAGCATTAGTGTATAATGTTGGCTGTCAACACAGGTGCTGTCAATACATCTTGATACAACACTGTGTATCTTTCGATCATGTGTTGAAGTAAGGAAGTGATGATTCAGAACAAAAAAAACTTATAACTACATTCTGGAGATTATTCTCGTGACTAAGTCGAAATAAAGAAACCTTGTGCTCATTTCTATCCTCAATGCACGACATCCAGTACACTCAGAAATGGCAGGCACCCGACCCCATTTATCCAACATAGCGATGGCTGGGCTTGCCAATAGATTGCTCAGGCAGTTAGTATTACATTGTGGGATAGGAACGTGTGCTCTACTAGCAGGAAGTGTGATTTTGAGAGGCTGTGCATGCTTGCTCCCATGCCCCAATGGAGCTTCATTTAGGGAAATCTGCCAGTATCTGATGGTGCAAGATATATTGGCTGGACTAAATACAAGTTCAATTTAAAGTCCAGCTTTTCGTTTTCTACCTGCATTGGATGTGTAGGTTCCATTTCCTTATTTATAAATGTATTTTATTTATAATTAACTATTCTACTTAGAAAAAAAAATGTAAGAGCCAGCTAAGTAATGTAATATTCATGTACCTGCAATGTATTTTAGAATACCTCCAGCCTTCAAAACCTGGAGTGTGCAAATATTGCTTTCATTTCTTAAAGTTGAGGGATGGCCATCAACAATTCTCTGCTTGCTTTTGTCTGTAATGTGGTGATCTTGGAATGTGCATACTGGTAATACAGGAACACCCTCATGGATGCCTCTCATAGAGAACCTGAACTGAGAAATTTCCTACAGCCACCAATAAAACTGAAACCTGTCTAAGAACTTTGACATTATTGGTAATGTAGGAAGCACAGGAAATTGCACCACACAAACCTCGAGGTACATTCCCTACTGCCCATGTATAGAGGTATGTGTACTTAACAGTGGATTACAAACAACCCACATAGATAAAAGCTGAACTGAAACCTTACCTTCAGTCTTGCACAGTTGTACCGGCTCCTCCCCCGTACTGAAATTGCTTACACTGATTACATGGCACCTGTAGGTTTCGCACAAAGTCAGACAAGGCTTTGGGCCAGAGCAAATGAAAAATAGACAACCAACCAGTTTACAAAAAAAGGTGATGCAGATTTACAAGAACTTTGTTATATCTTCCTCTTACTTTGTAGAAATCAACAGTAGCTCACTCATTGCTTTCACTTGTTGCCTGGAATTGCTTTTGGATTTTAAAATAAAGAATATCTCTTTTCTCTTCAGGTGGAGAAGGTCAAGCTTAATTTTATCATTTATTCTACTTCATCCCAATGGTGCTGTTTTAGGGGCACTTAGGCTTGGATCCCAACAAGGTGACTGATTAAGAAATATTTTTATAATAATATGAAATCAACTCAACCTCTATTAGGTACATCAGAAAAGCTTTCAGGTGTGAGGCCCAAACCTAAAAATGAATAATGTTCTAATAGTTGATAGTACTGGTACCGGGATCCCTCCATATATCTATTATTTTTGAGCAGTCTTTTGGTAAACCTCTTTTGGTAAATTGTCAGCTGCCTAGAGCCTCTTCTATGGACAGGAATGACATGGAGGTTTAAAATACCCCATCATGCCATTGCATTATTGCCCCCAGTAGTTGTCCAGGTCCGCTTATACAAGCCTTACTTTACGTAGTATTCTGGGCACACACACTGCAATCTGATTGTACAATCACTGTGGAGCTTCCATCAGATTTACTAAAACTATGTAATATGAGGGCCTAATTAATCAATACATTTAGTTTTTATGCAACCAGACAGTCCCTTACACTACACAATTTTTAGTAAAGCTAAAGGATATCGCACAGATTGCAATGTTTAGGGTGAGCTTTAAGCAGAACTCTAGTTAACCCCCCACACCTCCTGCAAGCAC